GCAGATTTTTATTGCTGCGAATTTACAGTAATCCGTTCTCAGAGACAAATGAGGGATATTAATGTTTAATATTTTTTCGTAAGTTAACGAAAGAGTTGTCCATTAGAAGTTAGCTGACTCACCCGACAACCAAACTGAGGAACTGTGTCCGACGAGTGAAAGATGAGCATGTGCGATCAGGAACAATGCCCAGCCATAGCTCCAATGTCGTGGATGACAATGTTTGAAGGCGACGAATGAATAGTGTGTGGTGTAGACGAGATTTGAGAACAGGACAACAGTATCACAGCATGCCATCGCCGACAGGATCATATTCACTGGAGTTCGCATTTGACGCCTGTAAAGATAAGCTAGGAGTTGTTTTGAAGAGAGTGGAAAATAACCGATGAACGGTTGAAGACTGTCATTTTTTTTTCAGAGTTTTGAAAATTTAATTTCTTATTTTCTTAGGAATTAGAAATGCATGTTAAATTGATTTCCTAATAAGCATATATTGTCAAAGCTGCTTCAGAAATACCGCTACGTAGTACAGCACGTGGAGCAAATGAACGAAGAGAATCATAACTACCTGTTTCGACATCAACACCTGTTCCTTTTTACAAAACATATAAATTAAGCAACAATACACTAAAGAAGCATGATTTTCAAAAATCGGTGGTAGTTATAGGTCCCATAGTAGTTATGATTTGAAAAAAGTTCATTGCCTTATTAGCCATGATAGCGATGAGCTTATGATGAGATGTAGAGTTCCGATTTGTGTAGACTGATGAAAAATGCCTAATGTTGTTGAAACCTACATCAGTATTTTTGAAAATGACAACTATAAAATTGGCAAGAAAATGGATAAAGGTGGTTTCGCGGTTGTGCATTAGTCTTTTTTTAGTGATATTATTATTTACGTTTGTCTGAAGTCCAGGTAGAGTCATTTAACTAATTATTGGTAGGCATGCGAATGGACATGTGGAAAACGTGCGTCCAAAGATAAACAGGAGCATTACAGTCGAAAAAAGGGGTAGTTGAAAGAAACTCACCGCGTTAGCACCACAATATTACAGAAGTTGGCAACAGTACCAAATATGCACATAATTATGGATAAGTAGGTGTGAATAGGTTTGTAGAATAGATGGACTTCCCTGTAAGTGGCAAGATTGGCGGAACGAAGAACATATGAAAAAAAATGAAAAAAAAGGAACAAAAAAGGGTTTGTTACCATCGCATTTCAGAAAAAGGGCACTACTGCTTAAATTAAGTAAAAATTAGAAAGACTCAGCTTGGTGTATTCGTTTGCCAACATTAAGAAAAATCAGATCGCTTCAAAATTTTTAAAGAGGCGTGAGAAGGAGTGAAGCTCAACTAATCTGCAGCATACTTGAAGCCTTGAAGATCTGTTTCACCTAATTATCAACTCAGATGTCAAGCTTTCACTTTTTTCCAAGATATCTAAAACATCTGGACTTCTATTGTTTTTGAGTCATTTCATGTCAATTCCGACAAAGTCAGTGAAGATACCCGAGTAGATAACCTTGTATTGGACTATCATAGGTCAAGCCTGACTCCTTCCAATATCCTTCCTCCTCACTCACTCATCTATGCTGTATCATGAAACTTGTATTTTCAAAAATTAACAAAGATACAGTTGAAGACAGAGAAGGAAAGGGAAGAAGGCGATCATTTCTTGGCTCTACCATAAAGATCCCTCCTTACCTTCCCATTTCTCGGAATGCTAGGTTTTCGCTTAACCAGGGCAATAAACACAGTATCTTCAAAATCCACAACAACAACGGCTTTGTTGTTTTCCCATAAAGATTAGTAATCTTTAATGATTAATAATGCTCACCGAAAGAAGTCATAAACAACGCTATGACTGGGCAAATGCAGAAGAACCGTCTGACATTGATCAGTCTCCATTATCGAGTGCTTCCTTTATTTGATGTGTTTATCCACAAATGTCTGTGTTTATGCGTCTGTTTACTGTTGCATCTGCAATAGACGAAATGAAAAAAAA